CCTGTAAATCCTCCAGTTTGATGCTTCCTTCTCCAACCTTTAAGTTATTCACTTATTTTTTATGTCTCCAGCTGAAGGTGACAGACTACCTTGTTAAGTGTTCAGTGGTGTCCCGCTATGCTGTTACTACAGTCCAGAGTTCAGTGTGGAACCAGCTCCCAATAACTAAGGAAGCTGCCTTTGAGGTGGACCTGCCCTCCTCTGCTTTCATTTCTAACTTCACCATGTAAGTCAGCCCAGTATCATCAAGTCTGCTACCTATGGTATCATTTCTTTGTTATAGTGTCTGTGTTCTTTCTGTTTCCTTTTCTTCTTCTCTACTTGTTTGCTCTTACTTTAAAAGCCTGAAACGGCACCCAATCTGTGTCTTACTCTTTTGAATAACTGTCTTCCAGTAGTGTTTACTATATATTGATTAAAATATAATAACGCATAGCTACTAAGTCCCACATTATAAAGTGGGCAAGAAAAAAGCACTTTTTATCTGCTATATAGTGAGAAGATAAGATACAAATAATAGAAAAAAAGCAGTATCAATATGAATATGTAGAGTATCTCACAATTGAGAAATAACGCAAATTGAAATGAACAAAAGTAATCGTTTTCATTTGTGGCCTGAATCATATCAATCAAGTAAAACTTGAGACAAATTAGTAGAAATTCGTACGTGTAGATCATTTTTGCTGTAGGAAACTAGAATTCTGGTCTGGAGTAGATGCATAATTTTATGACTGAGAGGTTTCAAAACCGCTCTCCTTTAAAAATGCTAAATATAAACAAGACAAATAAGTCAACACTGCAGGCCAAACAGCAAGCCCGGAGTTGAATTTGGGAGCGGAAGCAGGTCAGGAGGAGGAGGAACCTGAGGGTACATGAATGCCAAGCTTTGTAAACCCAAGTCCAAAAGTTAATAGGAGTTTGCCCAGTTCCCCTTTCTCCCCCACACAGTTTACCAAGGCACCTTGCCAGTTCAGATATGCTGCATAGACACACACTTACATCAGCTGTCCGTGTGTGTGTGTGTGTGTGTGTGTGTGTGTGTGTGTGTGTACACAGGAGGATTTAGACTTGAATTTTTTAAGTATGTGTGAGTTTGGAGCTCATACAGCTTCTTGCACCCATAATTCTTGCCATTTCTCTCTCACTCCTTGTCGCACACAGACTTGCATGCATTCAGAAATGTTCTCACACAGACATTCAGAACTCATAAGACTGCCTGTATGTCACTAAATACCCAGAGGAAAAAAGTTGTGGTATATGTATTGCGTTAGTTCTTTGGCATTTCGGCTTCCAACACTAAGAACTCTATGTGTAGATCACTGACGTACAGCCGTTCCTTCACGCTCTCAGCCAGCCACACATATAAATATAAGCACCTTCATTTTCCACTCTGCTCTCTCATGCCATTCTGCTCTGCTTTTCAAACAAGACCCGCTTCAAGGCTGCAGGTTTATTTTAGTTAGCTCTTGATGTTTTTTCCCTTTGGATATATTTGTTCTGTGGACCTGACCTTAATTTAGCACCTTGTCACGTGCCAGCAGTGGTCACGATGCCTAGAAAGTGCACTGTGTGAATTGAATCTCATTTTTGAGCGCTGGTTTTGGTTGGGATTTCGCTGGGTGTAGCACACAGTGGCACTCCCCTGGAGGATCATCAGCTTGTGAGCTCTCTTGCTCCATTATTGTTATTTTTTACACGGAAATTACTCTTTTCCACTCTTCCTGTTTATAACCCTCACCTCCTTTTCATGTTGTATGAACTCGATATGTATACAAGTTTGTGTGGCAGCTTTGTAATTT